TTAAAAAAAAAAAATCAACCAGGTGTGGTAGCACAAGCCTGTAGTTCCGTCTCCTTGGACGGCTGAGGTGGAAGAATCGCCGGAGCCCAGCAGTTCGACACAGGGCTGGCCATGAGTGTGCCATGGCACTCCAGTCTGGGAGACAGAGTGACACTCCAACTCAAAAGCAAAACCAAAAAACCATCACTCTCCATCTGCTCAGACTCCTGGCACCAGTGGGCGCCCGAGGAATGAGGAGGTTGGGCTTCGAGCCCACAGGGTGTCTGTGCTCCTCACACTCAGAGGGAAGGGGACTGGCAGCAGCCACAGGGGCCGGGAGTGGGCTCGTCAGGGCCCCGTGAGACCTTGGGTTATCCTGAGTGAAACTGGCGCCCTCAGAGGGCCCGGGGCAGAGGTGTGACATGTGTCTTCAAGCGCAACCAGAGCAGTGGTGGCAAGCGTCCAAGAGGGCCACAGCAGGCGAGAGAAGGAAAGGGCTGCTGAAGCTGAGAGTCACGCCCTGCTGACCAGAGGCAGAGTTGCATGGACTGAGCCCTGGGAGACTGGAGATCCGTAGGCCTGCTGCAGACACTCCTGGCTTGAGAGGCCCGGAGACGTCCCGTGAGACAAGGAACAGGCCCCAAGTGTGTGACAGAGTGCGGGGAGTACCCACCAGAGGAGGGAGGGTGAGGTTCCAAGGGGATGCTTTTTTGAGGGTGAGGCAGAGGTCGGCATGGCCTGGGACAGGTGGACAGGAGAGCAGGGACAGGCGGGGAGCCACAGGGAACGCCACCGCAGCAACATCACCGAGAGGGCCCCGTGAGAGCCAGGCCGGGCACTGTGTGTCCCGGGGCCGGGCTTCAGTTGGATGTGGTCTTCCTCGCTTTCTTCTGTTTGGTTTCCCGGTGGATACTCAGCTGTAAGATGACCTAGACAAGGGGGAAATTAATCATTCGGGAGCAACAGATGTGTGGGGGCTGGCTTCCCATTACTCCTGTGTCCTGGGAGCGGGGGTGGGGGGGTGGGAGATGGGGGGAGGGGTCTTGAGCGGAGGAGAGACGGTGTGAAGGGAGGAGTCGCCCAGGAGAGCAGGGGCGCTAGCCTGGGGGAGGCCTGGGGGAGCTTCCTCGCCGTCTGCAGCTCCTTGCATTGATCAGGCCTGGGACGCAGAGCCTTGGTCCTACGAGTCAGCAGGTGGACAGGGAGGTGAGGTCGGGCCAAGTGGGGGTACGGGTGGCTTTAGTCCTGGCCGCTCTCCCACTGGGGCTTTGGGGATCCCCCTGTATCTGAGGCTTCCGTCTCTCTCCAGATCCAGCGGTTTCTGCCCAAACAGCATTCCGCGTTTCCTGTCCTCCTCCGTCGTGCATCTGAGCTTTCCCTGGGGTGCGCGATGGGGCTTCTGCGCCCCTGGGTCTCAGCCCCGCTCCCCACCTGGCCATGCCGCTCTGCCTCCCTCCTCCTCCTCTCTCGGCTCTCCCTTCCCCACCCGGTGCACTTGCAGGCACGCCTGTGCTAACTTCCGATGTGTTTCCTCCATTCTGTCGGTTCCCTTTCATTTTGCAGATCCTCTAATTGTTGATCCTACTCTTTAGCCCATCTATTGCTTTTTCTATTTTAAGGACTCTTTTCTTTCCAAAAGTATCGTGTTTATTTTCGTATGTGCCTGGTTTAAAAAATAACTGCTAGCTGCCCTCCCTTTTTCTGTTATTTTCCTAATTATTTTTATTGAGGTATGCTTGCATATAAAGGCATGTACCCATTTAAAGGTTTAGTTTGAAGAGCTTTGGCAAACATAGACGTCCATGTACCCAGCTCTCCAACAGAAAAACTTCCCCTAAGCCATGTCCACGGGCCTCTGCCCAGTGAATCACCCACCTCCTCCAGCCCCAGATAAACACTGATCTGCTTTCTTTTCCTGTAGATTCACCATTCCATCATATAAATGGAATGATACCGTATATATTCCTTTGAGACTGGCTTCATTCACTCAGTTAATGCCATTGAAACTCATCTATGTTGCCTATATCAAGAGTTCCTTCCTTTCTATTGCTGAGTAGTATTCCATGGTATAAATATTCAGCAACTTCCTTATTCACCTATTGATGGGTATTCTGCTGGAATTAATGGAAAGGGACACTTGTACATGCATTTTCACAGCAGCTGTAGACACATGTGGTAGATGTATTACTAGTCTAAGAGACTCTTTTCCAAACTGTTACATCCCTCTGTTCACACTAGCACAGTGGAAATCTTAGTTGCTCCACATCCCTGCAAACACCTAGTATAAGCAATCATTGTACGTTTAGCCATTCTTGTACATACTGATCTTTCATGGTAGATTGTGAAAACTTTCCCCATGATTAATGAGCATCTTTTTCTATGCTTATTGATCATTCTCCTGTCTTTTGTGAAGTATCTGTTCAAAACTTTTGCTTATTTTGAAAATTGTGTAATTTGGCTTATTGTGAGTAATAAGAGCTCTTCGTGTATTTTGGATACAAATATTTATCATATATTATACATATTTTGCCCCCAGCTATAGTTGGCATTCTCATTTTCTTAACACTGTCTTTCAAAAAGCAAAAGGTTTTACTTTTTGTGGGATAACATTTATGAATTCTTTACTAATTTGGTTATTGCATTTTGTGTCCTGTCCAAGAATTACTTACTTCTCCTTAAAAGTCACAGATTTTCCATTTTCCTGTGGAATAGCAATTCTCAAACATTATGACTTAAGGAATCTTGACTATTCTTCACAATTATTGAGGACCCCAAAGAGCTTTTACTTAATAGGCTATATTTATTGATGTTTATTGTACTAGAAATCAAAATAGAAACAAATATTAAACGCAAAAATACACAAGCATACATTTCACTAGACATTGTGGCAGTGACACCGCATATGTCACAAAGCCTCTGGAATATTCTTTGATGTGTATTCATGAAAAAATAGGGGTGTACATAGAAATTATTATGAAAATAGGTTGGCCTTGTGGACCCACTGAAAGGGTCTTAGAGACTCCTAGGACCCCCCAGGTGTCTGGATCACACTTTGAGAACCATTATTCTCAAAGTTCTATAGCATTTCCTTTTACATCTAGTTCAGTGATCCATTGAGGATAAAGTTTTATGGTGTGAGGTAGGGGTTGTGCTTTATTTTGTTCCCATATGGGTATTTCAGTTGTTTCAGAACCATTTGTTGAAAAGGATGTCCTTTTCCTATTGAATTATGGTGGCACCTTTGTTAAATATCACTTGACCTGTGGGTCTATTTCTGGAGTCTCCAGTACCTTTTATTAGTTGATATTTTTATACATATGCCTGTATCAGACTCTATCAATTACTGTGGATTTGTAGTAATTATTGAGATTAGTAGTTATAAGTCTTCCAAATCTGTTCCTTTAGAAGATTGTCTTGACTATTCTAGGACCTTTGTATTTCCACATAACTTTTTTTTTAGTTGGAGTCTCACTGTGTCACCCAGGCTGGAGTAGAGTGGCATGCTCACGGCAACTGCAACCTCGACCTGCTGGGCTGTTGGGCTCAGGTGATCCTTCCGCCTCAACCTTCCAAGCGGCTGAAACCACAGGAATGTGCCACCATGCCCAACTAATTTTTGATTTATTGAACAGATGCATTATCGCCATATTACTCAGGCTGGTCTTGAACTCCTGAGCTCAGGCAATTCTCTTGACTCCACTTCCCAAAGTGCTGGGATTATAGGTGCAAGCCACCATGCATGGCTTTCATATAACTTTTAGGAAACGTGTCAATTTCTAGTTGGAGGGGAGGACTGTTGGCATTTTTTTTTGAGTCGGAGTCTCACTATATTGCCTAGGCTAGAGTGCAGTGGCACGCTCACGGCCACCGCAGCCTCAACCTGATCCTTCCGCCTCAGCCTTCCAAGTAGCTGGAACTACAGGCATGCGCTATCATGCACATCTAATTTTTTTATTTATTGTAGAGACCAGGTCTCGCCAAGTTGCCCAGACTGGTCTCGAACTCCTGAGCTCAGACAATCTTCTCACCGCTACCTTCCAAAGTACTGGGATTATAGGTGCATGCCACCATGCCCGGCCTGCCTGCTGGTATTTTGATTAGAATTATGTTGAATCTATAAATGAATCTTGGGAAAAATGACATCATGGTAATATAGACTCTTCTGATCCTGGCATGCACTATGCTCTCCATTGATTTAGGGCTTTGATTTTCCTCAGCAGTGTCCTGTGGTTTTTACTGTGGAGTTCATGCCCATCTTCTGTCAGACATATCCCTAAACGTTTGATGGTTCTTGATGTAATTGACAATGGTATTGTTTTTCTAAACTTAAAGTTCTTATTGTCTGCTATTATATAGAAATACAATTGACATTCGTATATTGACCTTGTAATCTATGACCTTGCTAAATTCACTATGCTGGCTTGTAGAATCCTTGAGATTTTCAATGTACACAGTCGTGTCATCTGTCTAACTTTTCTTTTTCATGCCTCTTGCATTGAATGGAACCTCCAGGAAAAACTGAACATGTTGAGAGTCGAGGATATTTGCTCTTCTTGTTCCTCATCTTAGTGAGGCAAAAATTCAATCTTGGCCCCATTGTATAAGACATTAGCTGTGAAATTTTTATCAGTTCCCTTTACAGGATGAGGATGGTTCCCTTCTTTTCCTAGTTTGCTGATTTTTCCAAAAAAATAATGA